CCTCCCCTCCCCGCGCCTCCTCGAGGATCTGTGCGTGGCCTGCCTTGCGACTGCGCTGCATGAATGTGCGTCGCGACACTTTGCGTCTGGTGAGCACGACGGAAGGAAAACACGGGCATTTCATTTTCAAATCGAATGTAATCAAAACAAGTAATTGTGTATTTATCGACCAGAGATTCGACAAAACGATGTGTGATGCTAAGTACAATATTTTTTTGCTATGCTTTGCCAATTTATTATTACTTAAGTCTTCAATCTTTCGTCCACTTGAGTGCAATCGCATGTTGAGATACCATTTTTAGTGATTCATGTAAAGTGGTTGTTTACAATTGCCCCTCACACGGAGCATTCACAATGAAAACACTCTTGTGTTACTCTCTCAATGAGGATGGTGCTCAGTCTTGGCGTTCCACATCTAAAACACGAAAGATCTCCTAACAATTTTGTTAACTCGAATTATTGAATTTTTTCGAGAAATACAACACGTACTATAATGGTTTTAGATCTCAGATTTCCCGTACAATTCTACATTGGGCAATAAATAATTTATTAGTATATTACAAATACATCTAATACGTATAGACAGGTGTAGGTAAGTGTAGAAGGCAACAAACTTTCTTCCCTATCGAATTCGGCATTTCTTCACAAATATTCACTGGGAGATGTAGGAAGATAATATTTACTTTCCTTTTAAACACTTACATTTCATATTCACATCCAATTTCTGTACTTAAAGGTCGAGATCGTCTTATGCCTAATCAAAAACCATCTCTAATCGTTCGATAGAAATCAACAAGACAATTAACAACATTAACGTACTTGAAGTGAAAACCGCTCTTTAACTAAAACGCAACGTCATTGAAAAAGTAGTTCGTTAAACATGTGTAATTACACCTTGAGTGTGCCGTAGGCGGGACCGTCCTCTCCGCGTGTCGCGACCTCGCCTCCTCGCTCCGCGCTCGCGGTGCGTACGCGCTGGGCCGCGGAGTGCGTGGCGAGGCCGGGGCGGCGCGGCGGTGCGTACGACCTTCTGGGTCCTTCCTTATGGCGCGGACGCCTAACGGCGCGGGCGAGGTCGTCTCCAGCCGCAGCGTCGCGCCGCGCCGCGCCCAGCGCCCCGACCGACCGCGACCCGCCGTCACGGGAGAAGGAACGGAAGCAAAACAAAAATTATAAATAGTTTTAGACCGAGCGAAGAAGTGGCGCAGCGCGCTGGATTCGCAATCGGGATGCCCCGGGTCGATCCCCGGGCCGGTTAGCCTGACCGGGGTTTTTGTGGTTTTCCTTGGTCACAAGGCGAATGATAGGAGGGTTCCAAAATCACACGAACACCTCCCACTTCCCTCTACCTTACCTAACGCCTCCAACCATCATCCTAGTCCTTTCATTCTTCATCATCACCCTGTAATAATAACAATAATAATAATAATAATAATAATAATAATAATAATGTGAACAATAGTAGTGATAATAATGTAATTTGTAATTTTGCTCAGTACCAAATTTTCAAAGAGGTTCAGTCAATCTTAAAATGTTAAATAAAAGCATTTCTGACATGAAATGTTAAATTTTGAAACAATATTTTTAATTTATCGAGTCTCATTATCAATTAAATTATTTAAATTATACAACCCTATCTGGATGGCTAAGGTGGCTATGAGCATGTACCGACTCCGCGCCTATGTTCGTGTCCCACCATGTTTGTTTGTCCCGTGTCTCTCATGGATGCTTTTCCACGGAAGGCCTCGCATTCTGCTGTCCCCAGATCAGGGGAACTCGCAAATGTGTTGCTGACTAGTGGTCGAATATGCGTCCCATAGGGACGTCAAGGGTAATGGGTTTCGAATGGTAAAACCTTAGCAAAAAATAATATACTACAAAGATATTTTTTGTAATCGTTTCATATGGATCTTAATGGACCGTGTCATATTCATATTCAGCAACGCCCAAAACGATCCAATCTCCTTGAAAAAAGATAGGAATAACAGTAAGTTAGCTTTCTCGTACAACTCTTTTTCAATCCGTTCCGGTGCCAACCACCAACCGCTCAAGTGTCGGGTCGCGCCCTCTGTCGCCGTAGCGCGCCGATTTCCGGTCAGGCCGGCCGCAGAACAGCTGACAGGTGTCGGAAAGGTCTTTACAATAAGGCGGCGTGGCTCAAGGTCTCGGCTGGGCTTATTTATGGCTCATCTTTATGCAAACGCCCTGCGCGTAGGAGAACGTGAGCGAATTCGCTTCGGATCGCAGCACGGAGGCCTGGAATTCCTTCACAGCTCGCAGGCAAGCGTCACGTTTTCCACGCGAGTCTCATGAAATAGACTGATACGATACCATTTGTACGGGGGATAAGGCGCGCATAAAATCTTGTTTTTCACGTTCCGAATCAGCAGGCTTTATTATCGACTGATGGTGAAACTGAAAGTCCTTTTGGTGAATGGCAATTTGATATTCTCAAAAAAAAAATATTGACAGTGTTAATGGAGGAATAAAAATAATATGAAATTTCATACTTCTTTCCAAACTGCACTGACACACAATTCGATGGTTGAGAATAAAAAATCTACAAATATTTGAACTTAGCTTGAATATTATTAACTCAAAACTCTGTGTAAGCAATAGAGTACAGGCGAAAACCAAAAGGAACTATTCTCCATGCACGAACGTGCATTTTACTTATTTCGTTAATTCCCAAATGCGTATTCCAAACACGTTTCGCGTGAGAGACCATGAAAGCACCTAGTTAACCTTACATTCGTGACGGTGGAAGAGCGCTAATGCGCTTAGCAGTGAACGCCTTGTCCTTAACGTTACATTTCCGAGCTTGCTCCAGTATTAGACGCAGTCTCAAAAAGGCTAGGCGCACTATGTCAAAGCCATCTTCCCTTGCATTTCCGCGACTTTGCCCTCTGGCAGCTTTAAGAGCCACTCCTATAATGACGCATTGAATGTTAATTCTATTTACAAGTATCTGGGTGCGTAGCAATCGCAAACTCTGGCAAGAAAATATACGTATAATGTAAATTAATACTTCAGATATACTAATAAATTGATGCCAGTAATAGTTTTTTTTTCATTTTGATTTTAGGTAGTGCATTCAACAGACCTCGCAATTATTACTATTATTATTATTATTATTATTATTATTATTATTATTATTCGAAATATTTTGTGTTCATTATTTTACAGATTTTGAGATCTCTCTTTATTATTACAGAGACGTTCAGTTGATGATAGTATGAAGAGTCTGTGTATTTCATTACTCTGTTCGTCTGTCGATTCGGTGTAGGTTTTTAGATAATTGAAATTATTGCAGGCAAATGGGAAACAGCATAAATTGAAACGAAAATGACTTATTATTTTTATTAACATAATTATTTATTAATATCTGTAAGAAGTTGTATGATTTGAAGGACAGTTATCGTAATTAATTACTTGTTTAATTGCTAACTTCATAATTTTATTGAAATATATTTGTGTGCATGGAAGACGTTTGTATCGTTTTTGATGGGATCATCCTGACCTTTTTAGCGTGAAAATAAAATTCCAATAAAAAAGATCGAACGATCGGCATCCATTTAGAATATGTAAATATGTTTCAAGAAAATTACTAAACCTTTAGATAAATATTTTATTAATCATAATAACCAAGTTAAAAATATCATTTTTAATATCAGAATTGTTAATGTAGCCTCCTGTTGTTCACCACAGGCAATTTTACGACTATTTAACACTGTGGTTCTTCGAAGAGAATGTGTTCATGAAGCTTCAGCCCCCTTCCCCCTATCAAATGCTCCACTTATCCACTAATCCTCTCAAAAGTTCCACTAATTTTCTATACTAACAAAGATGAATCAATAGATAAATTTTTACCGTTATAATTTGGAAGTCCCAAATTAAAATATCACATTTAAAATTCAGCATTAATAAAAAATTATTTATAAGAAAAATATCAAATCACCTCGTGAGAAAAATCCTGGGCTCTCCTCAAGAGCTTATCCGGTGCCAAACCCCGCGAATCTCGAGTCATTAAGATGAAACTCAATGGGGGAAATTGTTTAAAATAACAAAATTTTTAAATTTAAAACCGATAAGCCGCCGCAACGAAGTGACGAGAGCGCGCAAGGCCTAACCCGGAGCGTGCGTTTTCCATTGTTGCAGCACGCCAACGCGGTGCTGGAGGCCGCGGAGACGCTGCGCTCGGAGCGCGCAGACTGGCTGGAGAGCCACCCCAACTCGACGCAGGCGCACCTGGTGGCGGCGGTGGCGGCGCACGGGCCGGTCAACTACCACGTGCAGTCGGCGCGCCCGGGCACCTTCTTCGCGCGCGACAACGTCTCCAACTTCATCACGTGGGCGCGGCGCGCGCTCAACGTGCGCGAGGTGGTGCTGTTCGAGACGGACGACCTCATCCTGCGCAAGAACGAGAAGCACGTCGTGCTCACGCTGCTGGACGTCGCGCGCAGGGGTGAGTCCTCTCCTCTTGCTTCAATTCTATTCAATTCAATTCAGTGGTGCAGTGTTTTGCATGACGAGCCTCAGGCCATAAGGTGTGACCACGCAAATTTCCCTCCTGACCCTCCTTCGTTACCATCTAGCGGAGAAAGAAGGTATCACTTGGTCGAAATAGGCGATTTAATTCTAGTTCAGAGGCTTCTTTTAGGTTTGAGGATAGTTTACATGCAGTAGATCTACGACATGGGATAGCCGGCTTTACTTCCCCTCCGAAGGAAGGTGTACGAAGAATGTTTTCTCTCTTAAATATTCACAAAGATATGTTTGATATGCGTAACATGAGAGAAGTAAACAAAAAATTCAGATATTCTTATTACAATCTTATTACTAGTAATGTTAAGTTCATCTTTGGCACAAAGTAAACTTATTTCATAGATTTCTTCTGGAATATACTTCCATTATTTTTGAGAATTTAATCGGTCTTCTCCAAGGCTTTTCGTTCATAAACAACGAATCAAGTTTTTAAATGTCTACGTTGAATGGCTCAGTTAGGCCGTATGTTCTTTTGATACAGTTCTGCCGACCTCGAAGGTCAACCGTATGCGAAAGTGGAGGACGCAGAACAACCTTGCCTGCGTTCTACGAGTGTTTGAAATATCCGCTTATAAGCGAATCAGCCGAACACGGTTCCACTCTGATAGCACTCTCGTAGTCCTTGTAGGCAGCGCCGCGAGCCTTTAGTCTTGCTTGTCCCGGACGTATTCAATAATAAGATTTTCCTTTTCTACATTAGTTAATTCAGTACCTTTATTACTTGAAATTTATTTTATTCATATCATTTACTTTTTTATATCTCTGTTCTATTTCTACTCAATGTATTGTTTGTAATTGTAACGTCCTCATTTACATTCCAATAAACTGTATTTTAAATTAACGAACCAGTTTGATTCATACTAGAACAGAGATGAGACAATCGCAATAAAATGTAATACTGACAAGTTTTTAAAAAGCCATTCCTCTTTGTGACCTCCACCTGTATTGAGATAATTTAATGGCTACACGCTGTTCGGAATTGTTCTGTAATACAATGAACGATGCCATATGTTCTCATAAGGCGGAGAAAGTGGCGGTTGACAGTAGACAAACAGCCCATAAACGCTACTTCACGTAGCTGCTACCTAGAGAACGTTCGAGCAAGCAAAGAATCGTGATTCGTTGTTTTGCCCTTGGCATGTGAAGCGCAGATCGACCTCGCCACCGAGATAACACCTCCTGTCGTCCAGAGATGGAGCGGAGCATGCCTTGCAAAGCACTTAACGAGACTATTTTGTTCCGGATATAAAGCGGCGTATTGCTGTAAAGTATGTGTAATCCATAAACGTTTTGATGGTCACAATACATAACTCTTTGTTCTTCACATTCCATTGTATTATTGTAGATGAAATGATAAGTTATGTGAAATAATCTATTTAATTTGAGCTTCGGTGTAACTGGAAACAGTTTTATGTAGTGTTCCACTTTGCTGCTTCTCTCATGTTTCCATTATTCGTTACTATAATCAGATTGATTTCAATTCTATGATAACTGATATTGGATTTTGTCATATCGAAAATTAGCGTTAAACTGTGCTATTAGTCCATTGGTTTATTAATCTCAAAAACAAATTTGGCAGATTGGAGAAAAATTAGAACGCGCATTATACGCCTTCTTGTCGCTTGATTACATACACAATTGTTCATAACACTATTTACTCTTGACATTAGAGGGGATTATTGAATCAACCAAAAGTTACGAACACAAGTATTTTTAAACAAATTTCTTTATGCGACTATTTAAAACTTCATTAAAATATATAAAGCGCATTTTACTTCCACGATTAAAATATTGGAATTTTTTCCATATTAATGACAATCATTTTCACGCCGAAAGACAGGAACTATCCAATTCTACAATTGCAATAACGTTTATGGAGACGCCAGAGGACTTACACTGTCATGCCTTCTACTGAGCGGGTCTACATTAAAGTAACTGCTGTTTCTCTGAACTTTTGGTCTTCTTTTCCTGAGTTACTCTGCGACTCCTACAATACGTAGAATACTCGTATATTCGTTCGAGCTTGTCTGTTATCGTCGGATAGTCTCTCTCTTGCAGTGAGTCTCTCATCTAGTAGTTACCCCTCCAGCAATGGCAGTCCCTCTTGTGTCAGTGGTAGATCCTCCTGTGGCATTAGAAGTTACTCTTGTGGTAGTAGTAGTGTCTTTTGTAGTGGTAATCCATCGTGTAGCAGCAGTAGCTCCTTTGGAAATGGTAATTCCTCTCTAGCAGTGATAGTCCATTTCTCTGCAGTGGTAGAAGTCCCTTCCTTGGCAGTGTAATCTTTCTGGCTAGAGAAGTCCTCATGTTGCAGTCGGGTCCTTCTCTTGGCCATGTTAGTCTCTTTTAGCTGTGTCTAGTCCTTTCTGAAGTGCCAGGTCCCTTCTTGTGGCAATGGTAACCCTTCTCTGGCAGTGCATCTCTTCTATGGTACTGGTGGTCTCTCTGTGGCATGATAGTCAATCCTGTGGCGATGGCGTCCTTCTCTGTAGAGTCGTCTCTCCTGTTGGCAGTCGCACGATCGTTTCTGAGCCATTCTTGTCTCTTCTTAGCGTTGAAGTACGTACTGTAGCAGCGGTTGTCCATACGGCAGAAGCAGACTTCTGGGGATGCAGTCCTCTAAGGTAATGGCTGGGTAGTCCTTCGTAGTAGTCCAACCCTCTCCTGCATCGCCGGCAGTACCTCTTCCCCAGCGCGCCTGAATTCCCCGTACCTCTCCCCGTGTGGTCCCTCGCGCGGCGCGCTGAGCGGCGGAGGCTGGGGTTGCGACTGGACGGCTGGGGTTGCGCGCGGCAGGGGCGCGGCTGGGCGTGGCGGCGCCGGTGCTGGTGCAGCTGGAGCGAGAGATCGACCGGGAGATCGCGGCGGAGCAGCGCGGCCGCCAGGGCAGCGGCAGCGGCGACGACGACGCCGCTGACGACGATGACGACGACGAGCTGCTGCTTCCCGCGGGCCCGCAGCCGCAGCTCGTCACCAACGACCTCAAGTCGCTGCACGAGATGGTGAGTGTGCGCTTCTCGGCCTGCGCTGGGCTGGGCGACTTGACGTAGGCGAGCCGATGTATTCCATAAGGTTTTTCTCAAAAAGTAATCGGAGTTTAAGCACATTTGTAACGTTTTAATTTTGTCCCATACAGGCAGGTGTCTTCGTTAGAACTGTAACGACGAAACTTGAGCGTAACGTATGACCCGATGGGTAAATTTACAGTGAATGGATTAGCGCGTAATAACTTTGTTTTGTTGTATTGCGAAAATATGTCGCTAGCAGGCTACAACTCTCTTTGAACTCTGACGTTTCAAGACCCTAACGTTGAATTTTCATGATTTTTAGTGCTCAAGACGTTATAAATGTGTTAAATCTCCTCACATTGGGCAAATAATTTAAACGTTCAAAAGGATTTGTCCCTAGAATTCCTCCAATTATCTCCCTCATCATAAACATCTAAGGCTAATGAATGCTCTGATAATACAGGAAATTGAACATAATTTTCTTTCTCAAATGTTATTTTCCTACAATGTATCAGTTTATTTCTCACAAAAAGAAATTAAAAACGTTTTCACGATTACGAGTATATATTTTTCAGACTAATTCTAATTTAAACACGTTCAGAATCCATAATGGATATTTTCAGCCTTCAGTTTGTTATATCCTACCTTTCATCTTTCGGAATGTAAAAAAAATATTCTGAGCTATTCATTCCACTCATTTACTTTGATTTCATTTGATATTAACTGCATTTTTCAAGAGTTATGAAATGAAAGCTGAAAAATAATTAATACCCCTCATTTAGTACAAGTGTGTTCAATACCAGTCATGTTTATATCTTAATAGAAAAAAAACATCCAAAATCTACTCTCCACCACATTTAGTAAAATAATGTCCAATGCCAATCATGCTTATATATTAACAGAATAAACATACAAAATCTATTCAATGAGTTTAGAATAAGCATGACTACAGTACGATGTATTTAGTCGTGAACTTGACGTAAATCAGCTGTTGCAGTTTCGTCCAAATGGAAGATTAAATGTCGCTACAGTGACGTCACTATGGGGACGTTCAAACCCCCGATTGGATGAAACCGCGAACAGCTGATTTACTTCAAGCGCGTGTTTAATAAAGTGCGTACTGCATTACTGCATGAAGGAAGATGATGATGTAGGCTTCCGCGGCCAGAGTCATAATTTGGGCTGTCCGGGTGACGCCGCGTCGATGGCTGATGTGCCCACGTTTCGACCGACATATGGCGGTCCTCTTCAGGGCTTTACTGCGCAAGGATGTTCTGTCGGTCGAAACGTCGGCACATTAGCCATGGACGCGGAGTCACCCGCACAGCCCAGATCATGAATGAAGATGTGGACGCGACGGGAACGAGATCGCTTCCGCCCCGATTCACATGTGCCGCACGAAATCACATGTGCCGCAGGAAGCCACACGCGTCGCTGGGCCACTGGGCCAACGTAGGGCTTCCGGATCATCACAGATTGCCCGGGCAAAGCGGTTTGCGTAGATCGAGTGCCCGAGGAAGGTCGCTGGGAATGTCATTTGTGGACATCACCAAATTCCGAGTTCAGAAGTTCAAAGTTCCAAACTCCACTGTTCTTCTACCCCCACAAATGAAACTCCAGAAAACAGCGATGAAATTGATGATTTTTCCTAAGACAGATGGAAATGTCTCACTAAAGTTTTCATAATGAAATACGTGTGATGCTAATTATTTGTTAAGTCAGGAACCGAATGTTGATTTTTCTGTTACGTAAATAATTGATTATTTATTGCAGTATATTGTCACACTGTTGAGATTCTGGATGCTGTACAAGCAAATACATCATCTCAGTATAACAATATTTTTATAGATACGATGCAGACACCTTACGCAGAGTCCGTGTTCAATAGTTCAAAACTACATTGCTGTTCCCTTGGAATATATTGTCAGAATTATTAGGGAACAGCCGAAATCAGAATTATTCCAAAGTTCATGTTTACTTCTATGAATATTGACAAATTATTGAGATTTGTTCGTCGTTTTAATAGTATATCAAAAACTTCACAAAATAAGCTCATATCATTCAGTAAATGTAAACGTTCACATCTGTATATACTTTGGCTCATAAGCATCATAATCAAATCGCTCATCATCAAAAAATCAATCGACAATTCAACAAACTCCTCGATTACTTACTTCATTGTATATTTGTAAGAAATTCTTCTGGTACTTTCCTTGGCATACATCAATAATTTGATCAAGTCTGGGATGAAGGTCTACTATGTATAGTAAAATACTTGCTACAACATCCGTATTACCTTCTCTTCCAATCATATCTACGCGATCGCTTTTTTAGTGAATTACCAAAGCTCCCTCTCAGAATTCAATTTTATCCTCGCAAGTGTGGCAAAAGAAGTATCGTTGTACTTCTCTTAAACCTTATATCTATCGTGCCAATCACATACTGCACTGCTATCATTACATTGGTAGAGGACACTGCTCTCCTCGCAGATGTTGATATGTGCTTTGTTTCACATTTACCAATACATCTGGAGATAATTGAAGAAGGGACGAACAAATGGCGTGAAACAATAAATGCATCTATATCCAAAGGTATTAAATTTTCATTAAAAAGAAAACAGCGCCCACAACATTCACTGGCGAATCCGGGGGGGGGGGCATAAAGGCCTAGAGTTTTTGTTTGTCTTCCTTTATTTGTCAAAATTGATTTAAATATTCTTTATGTTCGAATTATGTATTTAAACAATATTATTGTTTAGTATCATATCTACAGTACGTAAATAATATATAATATAATAACTAATATGTATATTATTTAACAAAATTCTACGATGGCCCACTCCAAAATGATCGACTGGATCCACCCCTGTCAAATATTAGAATAAATAACACAGAACTGCCTGAGTCTACAACTATCAATTATCTTGGATTACTTGTGGACTACTATTTGACATGGAAAACACACATAATCAAAACTATGAAACGAAGTTCTATTGATAGAACGAAAATGGCGTGGCTCCTCGACCGAAGGTCACAACTCCTCTGTACAACAAAGAGCTACTATACAAAGTGTCATAAAATATTCTTGGACCTTCTTGAGGATAAATATGTGACTCCCGTCAGAGAACCCAACACAGAAATTTGTATATGATTCGAAACTAAATCCTAAAGAAGGTTCTGCAGAGCATAGTCGTTTGTTACTAACAAAACCATTTAAGAGTCTTCGTGTAGGGCAGGAGTCTTCGCAAAACGGAGCTAGGAGTATTTAAAGAAATTAAGTGAATATTCAAACCATCTATCCAGTCAACGTAATTGATAATAGTGAACACATGTTCAGATTGAATGCGAACACATCTTGGAACTGCCAATTCGCAACTGTAGTCCCTAATTGACATGTAAACATTATATCTAATAGGATATTAGAGTTGTCAGTAGAGTTCTGAATAATTTACCGATTGTTTTACAAGAATATATTTTAAATTTTGCGGTTATAAAAAAAGAAAAAAATAGAACACAGAAAATCAGACATCTGTAAAAGTTCATGATATCAGAAAATGTTAATTTTCGTTTTTCTTCAAAAATTCTTTGCATTTTAACCACCGACTTACATTATAAAGCCAGATTATAATGTCTTCATTTTGTGTATTCGTATCATTCTACGGAATATGAAAATTCCATTACTCAGAGCCAGCTGAATTTTGTAAGCTACATAAGAGTTCTCCAACTTCTCCAGAAATGTATTTCGTTCAATGCGTGAAAAATTTACGATACAAAAGAATTGAAAAATATTGTTTAAATGCTCATATTTAGTCGTTAAGTCAACTCTTCGTCCGAACTTACGAAACTGATCTCTGTTAGAAATTCCCCTTATCGTAATATTATGATCGCTAGGTCCTGTTTGTAATTTTAGAAGTGAAAACAACGGTCACTTTCTTTCAGCCAACCATTATGAAGAGTAGAAAAGACTTGGTATTATAACAATGCTTCAAAGTCGAACTTTCCGTCCGCACATAGAGGATTATTTTAAGACAGAGAAACTTCAGAGGCAGGAGAAACAAAATAACTTTCCGCTTCGTAGACCCGCGACGCATAATTTGGAGCTGAATCCTCCGTGTTCATTCCCATGAATGAAGATTCCTCGAAAGAGTGCGTTGGACTCGGAGGGAACAACCCCGCCATGGACACTGCCACCGCCGCTGCCACCGCCGCTGCCACCGCCGCTGCCACCGCCCGCTTACTGCCTCCAACGCAGTAGCCGCCGCCTCTTCCTCGGCCTCCCCCGCCGTCTCCGCCATGTACCGCTGCCGCCTTCGCCACCTCGCCACTGCGCGCCGCCCCCCCCTCTGCTGCCACCCACCGCTACTGCCTCCTCCCACCACCCGACATCTCCACCACCGCCTGCACCTACCATCAGCCGCTTTCCTTACCAGCGCGTCTCCGCCTCTACCACTGTCACCAGTCGCCGCCTCCATCTCTGATTGCCGTTTCTGCTGCAACCGTCCGTTAGCCACGCCGCTTGTTTTCCACTGCAGGCTGCCTCCAGCGCAGTCTCCGTTCGCGCCACCGCCGGACTTGCCAGCACCGTCGCCGCGCCGGCCACTGCTGCCACCCACCATTGCTACCGCCACTGCGCCCTCCGCAAGGCGACTTATGTCATCATTGCCTCCAAGCACTACTTCGAGCTACCGCCCCGTTGCGCGTTCACCACGCATTGCCACATCGCACGCTGCCACCATGCGCCACCGTCGCCACCATTCGCCACGCTGCACCATCGCCACCGCGTGCCACCATTAGCCAGCCGCCGCCACTGTTCTCTACGCCGTATGCACCGCCGCGCCCGCTGCCGCCGCTCCTAGCGCGCGTTGTCTGAAACTTCCGGCGGGCTGCGTAATGCGATCGCGCCTGCGAGAGAACGCAGTGCGCCGGAAGTGGGTGCTGCGCTCTATCGGCCCGGGAAGGAGGCGCGCCACGGCAAACAGACGTATCCGGAAG